TTCCGCCCCTTTGGGGTCATTACGATAAACACAGAAGATAATCTATGTCCAGGGCTTAGCACAATCTCTTGAAGGTGCCTACGTTTCATTTTGCACAAAATTTGAAGGATAAGAGTACAAATGATCAGTCGGCTGCTTTCAGGGATAGAAGTCCATCTCAAGCTGGCGGAAACACGCATTTTTCAAAGTCCTGTGTTTGAGCCCCTGGCCATGACTGGAGAATTCCCCATCTTTTGAAGTGCAGCCTATTTGCTACTATAGTCAGGGGCAAATGCCGTCTGCTCGTGTTCCCAGCCTCCTTTGCAGCTGGAGTGTGATGGCCCGAACTCCACCAATAAGGCACACCTAAACTAGACTTTCCATTCCACGTGGAGCAGCAGGAGCTTTGCAGAATCCATTCCAGATCGCCTTTCACAATCGTGAAGCAGGTTGTCTCCTTGTGAGGTCCAAGTTTCCTTCTATCAGTAGGTCTTGGATGAAAATAGATGGAACATTCATACTAACCAAGGCAGCTTGACCCTGGGTCTCTTTATCAAGGTATGGACAGGATGCAGGGAAGCCATGGGGTCGATCAGTTCCGTGGCTGATGGAAAGAAAGAAAGAAAGAAAGAAGGAAGGAAGGAAGGAAGGAAGGAAGGAAGGAAGAAAGATGGCAGCCAAGTGACAATTCTACCCAATTTTCTCAGGGCTGAAGCTGCAGCAGTTCTAGGGGCAGCATCTGGACCCAGCATTGGGGTGCCAACAAGCAAGGTGAGAACAAGGTACTCGGTGACGTTTTCAGTGGTGATCTCCACTCGGTGACGTTTTCAGTGGTGACCTCCAGCTCCAGGTCTGGGGCGTGAATCTGGGATTGCTCTGAGAGATCTAACCCCCAGTCCTGGCTGTCCTGTTCTCATGGATGTCTGAACAGTTACCGTCTTTACAATCCATCTCCTCAACTTAAATGAGCCAGAGTTGGTTTCCAGCACTTGTAACTAAGATTGAAGCACTGGGTGAACTAATGAAGACAGTGGTATTGGTTATTACGAAATGTCCCAGCATCTTAGTGGTTGAATATAGGGGAAATTTACTTTTTATTTGGGGACCCAGCCTAATGCCATTTTGGTCTCCTGGTTCCCAATATCATCCTGGTCCCTGTGGGTGAAAAAATACAGTGTGAAAAGTCGCATGGGTGGGGGGCTTGGGTGGAAGTCTATGCTTCACTTTGCTTCCAATTTAACTGGGCAAAACTCAGTGGCATGGCACCCTCTAGTAGTAATGGAGGCTGGAAATATTGTCCTTGGCTGCGCAGTCGCTTTACAACATAGACTCCACAAGTCTCTGCCAGTTGCAAGGAGATTACTGCCACCCATAACTAAAGGGTAGAGGGCATTTAGCATCAGGAATAGCTGCATCCAGGTTTGTGTGTGTGTGTGTGTGTGTGTGTGTGTGTCTGTTTCTCCTCAGTTCTTTACCCATCTTCCCAAGTTGCATTGACTCATTAATGAAAAAAGATCCTCAAGAGTCATAGCAAGACAGATGTCAGCAGCATCGGGGTGACATCTTACCAGCTTACCAAAACCCGTGGAGATACCGTGCACATTTCCCAAGGGCTTCAAGTAAAATCCCAGGCTGACTCTCATTGGACCACCTTGAGTCTCCTGTCCTTCCCTGAACCCATCTCTGTGGCCAGGGAGTTGGAATAAGCTGATTGGCTGGGCCTCAGACAGAGGCCTAGCTTCTCTGGAAGCCAGTGGAGTCTCCCGTCCCTAAACCTCCCTCGTGGACTGAAGAATGGGCAGGGAGAGGGCGGTTCCCCAAGGGGAAACCGGGTGATTTTACCAGAATGGAAAATGGTGAAAGCAACACACACACACACACACACACACACACACTTACTGTTGGCTGTGACCTGTGGAAAAAATGCTCCTGGGAAATGGGGGACTGATCCTACAGTAGAACATTAATTGACACATGGAAGTTGTTTCCATCTTTAGGATTTTCCACACACAAAATAACAGCCTTCAGCATCTGGGTGCCCAAGACAAACCCACTTTTCTCTTTCTCTGCCATCGACCCTTATTATGTCCTCTACTCAACGGCTCTGAGACACAGGAAGCCGGGGTCCTGCCCCTGTGGGTTGGAATAATTGTGTCCCTGGCCGGGGCCTCGCTTTCCCATTCGGTGCCGTTGACAGGGGGTAGGACCAGATGGTACCTGGGGTCCCTCCAGCTCTGACTGCGGAAGGCAGTCCTTCTGCTGGTCTTTGCTTAGGTCTGGCAGACCCAGCCTGTGTCTTATCAGCACAAACAGGAAAACTGAATGAACGCTGGGTTGGTGCTGGGGATTCCTGCTAATCCTTGCTTTATTTTTGTAGAATAATTCAATTCAGCAATTCGATTCAACAAACATTTATTGAATGCCTATCAGAGTCAGGATAAGCCCAGCATTTGCAGAATTACTTTTATGTTTACATAAGTCCGTTCCCTGCTATCGTCCTGTGTGGGCTAGGCAGGTGGGGAAGTTGGCAGGGCCAGCGAAGAGACTCCATTTGACAGATGAGGACACTGAGGCCACCTCTGCACAGCACCTACGCAGTCCCCCCAGATCGCCTGCCCTGGGCCTTTCCTGGTCACGGTGGTAATGTTACATTTGTGGGCGTGATTATTTGATTAATGCTCATCTATTTGTATTTGTTCTAGCAGGAGCAGGCTCAGGGCTGTTTTTGTAGCTAACAGAGTATCTGGCACATAGTGGGTCCTCAACAAGCGTTTGTTGAATGAATGCATGAATGGAAGAAGGAAGGAAGAGGGAGGAGAGAGGAAGGAAGGGAGAAATCAAGAGGCTGTTTTCAACTCTCTGAGGGACCTTGGCCAAAGCCTTTTTTCCTCCCTGGATTCAATTTCCTCCTCTGTCAAATGAGGAAGCTGTCAAATAAACCGTGATTCCCAGCAGGCTTTGCACCAGGGTCACTCCTGGTGTGAAAAAAGTAATGTGATTGTCCTGCCGGCACCCCCGATGGTCTGATCCCAAGGTAAGGAGGGTAAGAGCCAGCTGTTTGCACTTTTGCCAGCCTCCAGGTGATTCTAACACAGCCTGCTGGTCCCCAGAACTCGGAACTCCTGTGCAAGACGACCTCTCTGGATCCGTCCTGTCCAACAGCCTGGGGTTTCCAGATGGTGCCCGAGGCAAGCTTGAGCTTCGCGCCAGCCCAGGCCCGCCTGCCAGGCCAGCCCCCCCGCTCTGGGGCAGGGGTACCAGCCAGACTCGCCCTGGCAGTTTCCACCGCCTCATTGTGCTCCAGCGAGCAGCAGGTAATCTGTGTCAGGTTTCCTTCTCATCCCTTTCTCTTTCCCTCCATCTCTGGGCTTTCTGGGGCGCAAACTCCTGAGACTCCCCGTGAATCGCAGTGTTCCCACGCTGTGCAGATGGCGCGGGGTGGGGGGGCGTGCCCGTGCCAGTCGGGCCCTGTGCCCGCTCCTCGGGGAGCACCATGGGGCTCAGCATCTCCTCAGAGAAGGGGGCTGGTGGAGAAGGGAGGAGACAGACGCTCAGGCGTCCCGGCCAGCACAGAGGGCGGTGTCGGGCAAACCCAGAGTCTTCCACTGTGACAAGTGGCCTTGGAGGAGAGATGTCCAGTCATGAAAGGGCAGCTGCCCTTGAGAAGCATGGTGCCTTCTGTCCACTGCTAACGGGCGTCGGTCAAGCCAAGAGGCCCAGGGTGGGCCTCACCCACACCTGGAGACTCAGCGTGTCTGTCGGGGATTGTACCCCTTGACCTGCCTGCATCCTAGGACACATGGCGGGAGGCCACCCAAGCAGCCCGAGTGTGAGGGAGGGGTGCGCCTGACATGCACGCCCCGCCCCCAGCAGCCTCAGCCCAGCGCTGGCAACAGAGGGCGGGTTACGTGGCCACTCGTGAGCTTTATTTATTTATTTATTTCGGGTACCAGGGATTGAACTCAGGGCTACTCCACCACAGAGCCACATCCCAGCCCTATTTTGTATTTGATGGAGAGACAGGGTCTCCCTGAGTTGCTGAGCACCTTGCTTTGGCTGAGGCTGGCTTTGAACTCTCGATCTTCCTGCCTCAGCCTCCAGAGCCACTGGGATGACAGGCCTGCGCCACCGTGCCCAGCTGGGCACGGTGTTGTTATCCCAGTGAGGTGTGTACTCTCCAGGGACAGGCCCGGAGGGTGTGGGTCTGTGTTCCCCGCATGCATTAGGCAACACTGAAGCAGTGACTCAGGACAGAGTCCCCTCCATGCTGCGTGGCTGGGCGTCCTCTCTGTGAGTCCCTGGTCTCCCTCGCAGCATCCGCAAAGCAGGCACCCGTGTACTCAAGGAAAATTGATTTTGGATCACATTCCTATAAAACCCGAGAGTGGGAAGCAATCCTTCTCAGAATTCAGAAGAAAAAACACATCACATAGTTAATATTAAATAAAGCGATTGGGCAACTCTTGACTGACTTTTCTTTTTTATGGTGTGTGCTGATGTGTCCTTGATCGGGACGGGACCTGTTTTGTTTATGATTAATAGATGACTCACCTTGGGCTGCTTTCTGTTTATTCCATACTTATTATGAATTTGGAGAGGTCCTGTTGGACTTGGCCCATTGGGGAATGCTCAGGAATTTGGGACAAAAATGTTGACGGTTCAGAAGCCTCCCAGGGGTAATGGATACCAGGTGGACACCTTGTGAGCCTGCAAGTTTCCAAAACAGGTTCTCTAAATCTGTAATCACCAGAAAACCCATTGATTTACTGAGCATCTACTAGGAGCCAGGTATAGTTCTGCCTTCACAGAATGCTCGAAAGAGGGGAACACAATCACCCCAACACTCATACACACACAGGTCACGTTTCAGCTGGATCCCTTGATCTATCTGACACTCTCCACTTTGCAAGTGAGCACGGTGTGTTTCTTCTCTCTGGTCTCGGTTTCCCCGCCTGTGCAGAGGGGCTTTCTGTAAGGTCTTCCTCGCTTTTTTCTGTTCAGATTTCCAGAGCTGAAAAAAATAAACCCAAGACGATGGTCTGGTGAGTCAGCAGAGCTGCTTCTCCTGACCCCTGTGGCCGTACCTCTATCCAGGAGCCAGAGTTTCCATCAGGGTCACAAGGGAACTGGAGTAAATGGACACACCAGCTGAGGCTGGTCTCCAGAGGCTTGGAATTGGGTGCCACATCAAAGGTCATGAATGACAACGGCATGTGTCCTCTTTCCAGGTGCGTCCACAGGCCAGCCACCCCCTGGAGGCACCCGCCTGTCTGGTCACACACTTTGTGACTTGCCTGGACCTGAGTGTGGGATTCGGGATTAGCCATCTCTTGGGGGTCCTCCCTATTCTGCCCTTCTGTGCTTCTCGAAGGGGTAGGCAGGAGGGCTGGACCTGGCGGGGTCCTCCCCATGAGAACCTAGCTCTGGGTTCCTGGGAGAGGGTCTCCTAACTGTTTGGGCATCTCTCCAGCCGTCGGGTCCTGTCTGTGCCCTCTGACCCACCCAGGCCCAGAGGTGCTCAGTGGTGCCCACCACCTCGCTCACGACCGGCCAGCCTGCTCTGAAGGAATGCGGAGCCAGGGGACATGGGGAAAACCCGAGTTCAGAAGAAGCAGTGGACAGTCAGTCATACCTGCCCTAGGGCAGAAGTTGGTACAGGGATCACCGGGGCCTGATGCAGATGTTGGGGGGGGGGCAGAAGAAGCCCCCAGAAGCAGCGTGGTAGCCTCATGCTTGTTTCCTGGCTGCGCACCCCGGGGTTGCTTGCTCTTGTACCATTGCTGCTCCTGTCCCCTCAGCTGTGATGAGAGGGGCTTGACCCTGACCGGCTCATTCATTCCTCTCAGACTGCCAGGGCCCAGATGGCCAGGAGGGGCCTTGACAGTTCCCTGTCCTTGAGGACCTGCCCGCCTCACCACTTGGTGGGTAACTCCAGATTATTCACTAAGCAGCTCCATGTGCCAGGAACCTGCCACCGACTTGGACCCGGATGTTTCTGCCCTAGAAGATAGGAATTGTGCATAGGAGCTCACACTCACCTGTAAGTCCACAGGCACAATCTATGGGACACCAGAGAGAAGCGTCCTCTACGCTGCTACTGAGGATGCAGTGAAGAGGAAATCTCCATCTCCTTGGCAGACCAAGGCTGGGGGGCGGGTGGGAGTCTGGTGGGAGAAGCAGCCCCAGCAGGGATGTGGGGACAGCCCTGTGCCCAGTGCTTGCTGTGAGGCTGCTACAACATGATTTGGGACCCTGGAGTCTCGGATAATAACCCGCTGAACTGATGATATCACGCATTCTGGTTCCACAGAGTCTTTGCAGACATTCCGACCTGGTGCAAGGCTGTAGGGTTGGCAGCTGCCTGGGTCCCCCAGTGGGAAGGGACTCCCTGGGACCTCACCACCTCTCGCTCCTGGAGTCAGGCTGGCACCTGTCTGTTCCAAAGCTGTGCTGATTTCCCAGGGCGAGGTATCCTACCCAGGTGGCTTCGGATAACAGAGGTGTGTTCTCTCGCCGCTCTGGAGGCTGCAGATCTGGCATCCATGAGTGGCAGGGCCATGCTCCCTGGGCAGATTCTCGGGAAGGGTCCTTCCTTGCTCCTCCAGGCCCTGGTGGGTGCTGGCAGGCCTTGGGGTCCTTGGCTGGCAGCTCAATCCTTTGGCCTCAGCGGCTGTTCGCACACGGCCTTCTTCCATCTCCTCCTCTGCCTGTCTCCCTCTGTGTGTCCTCTCTGGGTTTAGGGCCCACCTGAATCTGGTATGACTTTATCTTAACTACAGTGAATCCTTATTATTTGTGGATTCTGTATTTGCTATTTAACTACTCATGAAAATTTATTCGTAACCCCAAAATCAATACACGTGGTCATTTGCAGATCCACACGGAGACGTGAAAAATGTGAGCTGCCCAGCGTGCAAAGTCCCAGCTGAGGCCAAAGAAGGCAATGCCCGGCCTTCTTGGTTCAGCCTCATTAACAAGTGTCCCTTTGGAAGCTTACTTAGTAGCATGTTTTTTTTTTCTTTTTTCTTTTTTTTTTTTTTTTTGCACTTTTTTTTTGCTTCAAGTTGGTGATTTTGCTGTTTAAAATGGCCCCAGTACTGAAGTGAGGTGTTCATGAGGGCAAGATGGCTGATACGGGTTATGGTTTGGATGTGAGGTGTCCCCCAAAATCTCATGTGACAATGCTGGAATGTTCAGGGGTGAAACAGTTCGCTCCTGAGAGCGGTGACCTGATCTCAGTGGATTCATCCGTTTGATGGGTTAATAATCTGAATGAATTACTGGTGGAAACTCTAGGCAGGTAGGACGTGGCTAGAGGAAGTAAGTCCCTAGGGCCATGTTCTTGGGGATGACGTGTCTTGTCCCTGACTCCCCGCTCTCTCTCTGTCCCAGCTCCCGTGACCTGAATAGTTCTCCTCCACCTGCCCTTCCACCGTGACCTTCTCCCTCCCCTTGGGGCCCAGGGCAGCGGAACCATCTGACCATCGTCTGAACCTCTGAAATGGAGCAGCGCCCCAAATGAACTTCCCCTCATCTACGTTGCTCATGTCAGGTATTTTGATCACAGGAATGGAAAGCTGGCTCACCGATATGAATGTTGGATAAGCGTCACTCAGGCACAGTTGTAGCACTCGTTGGCCATGAGTTCTTAGTGAAGGAACCAGCAATATGTGTTAAATAAGGTGTCTTCAAAGAGACATACACGTAAAACACCCCACACACACATTGCACAGTGCTGTCTGATGAAACATATCGTGACCACGGTTTACGGCATCCTCACCCTCTACTCCCCCTTAGGAGCATGGACTCAGAGTTCTCTAGTTCAGTGGTTTGGGTTACTCGGCAGAGCCTAACGATGGTCAACAAAAGAAACTGACTGAAATCACCCCCACAAAGACCCTGTTTCAGGATAAAGTCATGCTTTGAATTTCCAGGTGGTCATTGATTTCGAAATGATCTACGACTATTCAACCTAGCCTAGACCCCAAACCTACGCTTTCTCTCTCTGATACCAGTAGTTTTCCAAACTGGCCAGTCATCCAATCCTTCTTGAGGCCCTCATTAAGAATGTGGAATTTTAGGTCCTTGGGCCTAAGGGTAGGCCCAGGAATCTGCACTTTACAACAAATGCCTGAACAAGCTTGGGGACTTGTGGAGACCACTTCCATCTGGATTTCACCGTCCTCTTCCCAGAAGAGAAGGATCCATATACAATCGGCTCCTCTGGGGACTCTTGGCTTTCAGCCTCAGCCCTTGCCATCAGGGTGAAGAGAAAGATTCAAATGGCCCTTTGGATCCAAACCCAGTCACAAATGGGCATAGACTTGAATTTAGTCACAAGACTTTGAAGCTGGCCCTCCCCTCTCTGGGTCACTTATGGCCTTGTTTCTGCTGCAGTGAGTTCCTCCAGGGGAATCTTGGGTTTTGACTCTGGGAAATGCAGCCATAAGTATTGCAATTCTGCCTCGGGGACCCAGAGCCCCGGTTTCAACGGGGCCAGCCCCTCACCCTCTCTGAACTGGCATTTATTTCTGTCATAAAGGCACATTGATACTCACTGCCTTAGAGGGTTGGACGAGGATTAAATTTTAAAATGTGGTAAAATCACTCTGGCACCATATTGAACTTGCAATAAATGTTAAGTAGTAGTATATTAAGTATTTGGAACTTCAAATTTCCATGTTTTTCTCCACAGTACTTTGATTTTTGATCTCTTATACCTGTTTTTAAAGAACCCTACAAAATAAGCAAGATGGTCCCTGCTTATCTGGATACCACCTATCCCCCAAATTCCAACTCTCTGGATTAACTTCCTGGAATTAGAAAAGAATTTGTTAAAAACATGGTAGAGAAGATGGCTACTAGTTCACGAACATTCTTCCCTGCTAAGAAATTCTTGGCTCTGGCTTTATTTTTTTTTAAATTTTTTTTCCTTTACGGAAATTAGAAAGATTACTTTCTCTCTTTCTCTCTTTCTTTCTGGTGGCGCTGGGGATTGAACCCAGGGCCTTGTGCAGGTGAGGCAAACACTCTACCAACTGAGCCACATCCCCAGCTCGACTCCACTTCACACCCAATTTTAACAGGAATCAGTTTCATATTAAAAGTGGTTCGTTAGAGGTGAATTGATGTTAGGTGAAGTTCCTTGATGACAGCAGCAAGAAGGGACAACTGACCGTGAGAGAGAACAGATGCAGCTTCAGAAAGAAGACACAGTGGCTCAGGAATTGGCCATGGCCCCGTGGGGTAAGGGTGTCTGGCTTCACACTGGTTGGTGACCATGAGGACTTCGCTATAGTTATTTTACTGATGATAAGTTTGGAGTAATTTTGAGGAGAGGAGAAGTCTTCAGGCAGATTTACCTGGGCTCGAGTCCCATCCTTACCAGCCCTGGGATCGTGGGCAGTCCACTGACCTCACTGGAGCTTCCGTTTCCCCATTTCTGCATAATACATCCCTGAGGCAGATCTGGAGGACGGGAGACAACGATGTTTGTGAAGCATTTATCACAGTGGCTGGCACTAGTATTTTGCAATGGCATGTTCACAAAATATGATCAAAGTATGTTATATGCACATGCAAATAACAGTAAAAATGTTGCACTTTATAATTTCTGAAGCATTTTCATACTTGATCTCTCAATTGCTCCTCACAATGACCTTTCATCCACCCATCCATCCACATTTCCAACTATAAATCCATCCATCCATATATCTACTTATATATCCATCTATCCATCTATCCACCCATATATCCATCTATCCATCCATCCATCCATCCATCCATCCATCCATCCATTCATCCATCCATCCATCCATCCACATATCCACCCATATATCCATCTATCCATCCATCCATCCATCCATCCATCCATCCACATTTCCATCTATAAATTCATCCATCCATCTATCCACCCATATATCCATCTATCCATCCATCCATCCATCCATTCATCCATCCATATATACCCATATATCATCTATCCATCTATCCATCCATCCATCCATCCATTCATCCATCCATCCACATTTCCATCTATAAATCCATCTATCCATATATCCACCCATATATCCATCCATCCATCCATCCATCCATCCATCCATCCATCCACATTTCCATCTATAAATTCATCCATCCACATATCCACCCATATATCCATCTATCCATCCATCCATCCATCCATCCTTCCACCCACCCTGTGATTGGCACTGGCTACTTACATGGTAGTGGGCAAAACATAACAAAAATTCTTCCCCCTTAAGAGCTTAGAGTCTGGTGGGAATACTGGATCACAGACAGGTAAGGAGACAATCAAGTAGCTGTGTAAAAACTTCAGATTTTGTAAATAAACACGATGCTGAGAGAGAGAGAGATTCACGGGGAAGTCCTCGTTAGACAGTGGCCAGAGATTGCTTTGGTGGGAGGACCACATCTAAGCTGAAATCAGGGAGGGCAGCCATGGGCAGACTCAGGCAAGGGGGAGATACCTGGGATTCGCTGCAGAGGAGCTTGGTTGTACACATGGCTTCCGTTCATTCACCAGCCCCCTGTGTGGAGTCGCTGGAGGCCAGCCACACCATGAGCTTCTGCTTCCTCTTGGTGTCTGAGGAGCTCGAGGGGTTAAATGTGAGCTTAGATACGAGCTTAAAGTGAGCCCAAGGTCACAGGAAGGAAGTGGCCCACTCAGTATTGGAGCCCTGGCCACAATAGATGAGCCACTGCCAAGAGGTTAGGAGTGTCCTCTGACGTCTCCAAAATGACTTACATAAAACTATAAAAGATTTCCATGACTTTGGCTAGAAAAGGGTGAATTTTGGCACCTAACAAGGGTAAACGATTTCACTGTCTAGAATGTTACCTGAGGGGAATAAATACCTCCCTGTGTCCAGCCATGTCCAATATGGATGATGCATTGCTTCACAACTAGTCCCTTGTGGTGTGGGAGAAACGGAGGCCAAGAGGGACAGTTTTCTCAATCCTGCGGAGGACTCAGGGTGGGGCCTGCCATGGTCTGGATGTGGTTGGTCTCCCAAAGATTCATGTGCTGAAGCTGGGTCCCCAGTGTGGCAATGTGGACAGGGGGTGCCCTTAAGAGGCAGGACCTACTGCAAGGTCACTGGGTCACTGGGGGTGCTGCCTTTGGAAGGGATTGGCATGATTCTTGGGGAAGCCCAGTGAGTTCCCTCAAGTGACGGTTGTGACAAATGAGCCAGTCTGGCTCCTATGTGCGGACTTCCTCTCTCCCCACTGATCTCTCCCTCTCCTGTGCTTCCACCATGAAGCCTCGAACCATGAGGCCCTCACCAGAGGCTGAACTAATAGGGCTGCCCAATCTGAGACTTTCAGTCTCCAAAATTGTGAGCTAAAGAAACCTCTTCACTTTATAACCTACCCAGCCTCAGACGTTTTGTTGTATTAACGGAAAACAGACCAATCCATGGTCTGATCTTGACCTTGGCCTCTTCCAATCATCAAGCCACAGCTCATCTATCCTGTTCCTGGAAATCCCAGAAGGTCAGCCTAACTCATGGCCCCTCCAAGGCAGCTTCTATGGCAGGATCCTTTGTGGGTTTTCCAACCCTGATGAGCCAGGTCATTTTGGTGTTAGTGTTACAAAGTCCAGTAACCCTCATTCACGTCTTTTCTTCCAAGAACACTGCAATCTTGGATTATTGATAAGCCAGCTGCCCATTGACCTTTGGTGCTGCTGGTTACAATGTGGTTTCTGACTTTGCAACCAAAAATTTTCCAGAACAACTTGTGCTTTGGCCGTTAATCTATAACCAGGCATTTCCCTGTTGATGTGGGGAGAACAACCACACGGACTCTCTGTGCAAAGGGCTAACGGTAAAGCAACATGACATGTACATGTCTCTCTTGAGCGGCCTGTGGATGTCGGCTGCTCCAGGTGGTTCCTAGCATCTCCCGAGGTGCCCTGCTCTTTCCCTGGAGAGGACCCAGGGACAAAGACGTGGGAAAGGAGCTGTGGCCATGACCCCATCTGTCTCAGTCAATGCAGACCTGGGAGCAGGGCGGCCAAACTAGCGCGCTTCTGACATGCCCGGCTGAGTTCCAAGGCCAGAGAGCAAAGATGTCCTGACTTGGGGCTTGTTACGCGTCCACAGTTGGCATGCTTTGGTCTGACCGTGGCCTTCGGTCAGAGCAGCTGCCTGAGGCCCATCTCTGCAGGCCTCAGGCCTTCCCTCCCTCCTCTCGGACCAGGGACTCACATTCTGGAGGGCTGGGGAACGTGACTGGCGTGAACCCTCTGCAGGGCTCGAGTGGATGGGCACCGGGTCAGTAGCGAGTGCGGCCCTTGGATAATGGAGGTGTTCGGGATGACATTTGGGTCTGTGGTGCAAATGCACGGTGGCTTAGGAGTCTGTCCTGCGGGGGAGAGCGTCCTCACAGATCCTCAGAGCTTGTGAACACGGGTGTGACCTTTCTCTCCTGGGACAGTGGGCAGGCCACTTAAAGTGGACAATTGTGGCGCTTGCTGCTTAGCGCTCCCGTGAGGATGAAACGCAGTAGCACACCCTTGTGCAGGTGGAGGAGATTGTAAGCAAATACGAATAAAGATTTTTATTTAAGGATCGATGCCCCCAGGTCCTAAGCCCTGCCTTGAAGGCCAGCGGGTGAGGCCAGGCGGGGACGGCTGGGAGCGCTCCTTGGATTTGCGCCTGTCTGGCTGCCTGGGGACTTTGCAATGCAGAACCACCTGGAGGTCACAGAGGGGTACTGACCTGCAGAGTGAGGGCCCATGGTGGCCCTGGTCTACGTCCATGGTGACTCTATAGCAGGTTCTGCCCACACCCAACCTGTGTCCTCTCGGCCTTTCACCTGCAGTTGCTGGGGGTTCCTTGCAGGCGGGTGGAACAGGTGCCTCCTTCTCTTTCCCTCAGACATCAAAAGGAGGAAATGACAGCATCTAACCAGGTAGCATGTGTGCTGGTGTGTGCATGTGTGTGCACACGCGTGTGCCCGTGTGTGGGTGGCAAGCAGGACACAGGGGCCCACCTCAGTCCCTGGGGATGGCAGCTGGTGGGGAAGCGGCCCCACCTCCTGGTCCTCCTGGGAGCTGAACCAGGTGTCTTCTGCAGGCCTCCTCAGGGGGCCCCGGTGGCACTGGGCCCAGTCACGTGTGGCCTCCCAGCACCCCGACACGCTCCATGCTGTCCCCCCTCCCTCCGTGTCTTGGTTTCTCTCTGCCTCCCTCCTGGGATCACCATCTGTCTCCAACTAGGATCCCCTTTTGTAGAGTGACCCCAAAGCCTGCCGGAGCTTCTGGGACCCGGGCCCCCTCAGCTGAAGCCCCTGCACGGACCCTGCTGTGAGCCGCGCGCTGTCAGCGCCTCACTGTCCTGTCAGCTGCCCTCTGAGGAGACCTGGGGCCTCACCCCACACCAGCACATCCTGAGGGGGCCCCTGGACCAGCCCAGGCGCTGTCCCCATGGAGCGAGGCCAAGGTGTGGCTGGCCAGGTTCTCCAGGGTTGGCACCGGCTCCACACAGACGGGCGGAGGCCATGTCCTCTGTGCCCTCAGCGGGCAGCAGGGCAAGCACTGGGGAAGCCAGCCTTGTGCCGTCTTCATGGCGGAGATGAACAGGGAGCCGAGGTGGAGCACTGAGGGGACCCAGGCGGGGAGGAGGGAAGGCGCGGGCCAAGGAGGGAAAGGGTTGACTCGAGAGGCTGTCTGTCGGTAGAGGCAGCAGGAGTTCCCGAGGGGTGGGCTGGGCTGGGGGAAAGCACGAGAAGAGAAGAGACGGATACTAGGTTTGGGCTTCCCAAGTGGGCTGGCCTGCGGACGGTTGGTGGGAATGGAAATTAGAACAGCCACCATGGAGAACAGTGTGGAGGCTCCCCAAAGCAACGGAAACAGAGCTACCAGGCAATCTGTCAATCCCATTCCTGGGTCTGTGTCCAAAGGAAAAGAAATCAGCGTGCAAAGAGGTATCTGCTCTCCCAGGCTAATGACTCACAATCACCAAGACATGGAATCAATCTAAGTGTCCACCAGGGGACGAGTGGATAAAGTGTGGTACATACACACAGTGGAATAGTACTCAGCATTAAAAAGGAAAAACGGAGCCGGGCATGGTGGCACATACCTGTAGTCCCAGAAACTTGGGAGGCTAAGGCAGGAGGATCCCAAGTTAGAGACCAGCCATAGCATCTTAGCGAGGCCCTAAGCAACTCAGTGAGACCCCGTGTCAAAATAAAAAATACAAAAAGGGCTGGGATATGGCTCAGTGGTAAAGCCCCTGGGTTCAATCCCTAGTACCCAATCAATCAATGGATCAATGGAGAAAAGAAATACTATACAGCAAGACGGATGAGCCTGGAGGTTATCACGTTAAGCAAAATGATTCAGGTTATGGAAAGACAGATATGACAAGATCTCCCTTAGGTGTGGAATCCAAATTTGTCAAACTCAGAAACAGAGCAGAGGGGCACTTCCAGAGGCTGGGTGGAGGGGCGCTGGGAAATGGTG